GCTAAAAATAGAGAAATTAAGAATTTGATGAACTTACATCTGAGAAAATAATCACATAAGTTATCGTTGTCTATTTGTGGAAGTCCCTAATTATATTTGATTAGGAAAGCATATTTTAATAGTAGTACTTTCATTTTTATTGTATCCACTGTATTTGTATATCTCCTTGTAAATTAAAAAAAAAAGTTTTGAAGAAGCTAGGCAGCTTTTTAAACAGTACGTCATCTCTTTTTACAGAAATAAAGATACTTTATCTCTGTATTACTGGATATATACATATAAATTAAGCCTTAAAATTAACAATTAAAAATAAGGTTTGAAAAATTTATGAGAGACATTTAAAAGTTACCTGCATATCCTCTTTTTAGTTTAGTCTTTCATCATATACTTTGGAATTGTAAAACTGTTTTAATGAAGTACTGTAGGTTTTCTTAGTCATCACCAATAAGTAGTAGAGGAAATCTCAACTTTGTTTATAGGGAGGAAGGTAGGTCATTTGTTTATTTCATATGATGAATTCTTCTCTATAAACCACAAGTAATGTACTTCAAGTTGAAAAAAATCATTTATCACAGTCTAAATTTAGAGTGCCATCTAGTGATGTATAAGAGTTACATCAGGTATAGAATTCAGGAAATATTACTGCTTCTATAAGTAGAGATTTATGCTTTAATCTGGGCAATATGACTTACATTCAATATTAATCTAGTGTACAAAATAATAAACTAAATTTTAAGATATTTTTAACTTGAAAAATATTTAAAACTCAATGAAAATGTTTACCCTTAGCAACACAGAAATTATTTTCATGTAGATTGAGAATCAAATAGATTGCACTGGTCTTTACATTTAAACATTTGCATTTAATTAACACTAAATGACCATATTCAGGGTTACAAACACTCCCCAGCAAATCTTTGTTGATGGATTAAATCAGAGAACACATAAAGAATACATGTTTTAAAATATATTGTTTCAAATGTCAATACAAAGCAGTAACAGCAGCAGTTTTTGAAATAAAACTCCTATTTTAAAAAATTTTGTCAGTTTTGAGTATTTTTCTCTTATAGGTGTTTGATTTTTTTCTAGATTATTAAACTATACATTGTCTTTAAAATTAAACATAATAATTCATGAAGAGAAACCCAAGGAACATAAAGTTTGGCAAAGGAAAGGAAGAAAGGGGAAATGAGAATAAAATAAAGATCAAGGAAGAGAAAACAGGAAAAGACAGGGAAGAGAAGACAGCTTTATTGAAGATCTCTGTGCCAGCTCCTGTAACAGATGCTAAAACACAGGTAACTTCATTTCTTTCTACCCCATTTTAGTAGGAGGGCAACCAAGACTTGGTTAGGCCAAGTAACCTACTCAAGTTATTTTTTATACTAATTTTATTGTTTTTTGCAAGTGTTAAATATTGTTTATCATAAAAATATATATCATAAATGTGTCAATGAAGCAGTTGTAACAATGATAAATAAGTTAATAAACAAGAACAATAAAACTAAATAGGTATAACTTATTTAGAAGTCTAGATTACATGCCAAAGATCTACATTCAGATCAAAAATTTATTACCTATTTACTTTTCATGGGATCTTGGAAATTTACTAAAGCATTTGGGAAAAATAGCAAAGGTGACAATGTTCCATCATGTGTCTATTTCAGATCTAGTTTATCATATTAAATTAGTATTTAAGCTCATTCATGGTGGTCTAGTTATCCTCATGTTGCTTATGATATTTGTCCACAAACAAAATGATTCTTCTGCTATAGATTAAAATCAATGAACCAACCAAAGAAACAAAAAAATTAAAAGCACATAAATCATTCTGAAAGAGTTAGAATGGTTCCCCTTTAAGTATGGGATCCTCCAATAACTAGTGTCTTCCCTTTATAATCACTCAAGTTACTATGGGGAAAGGGCAGAGGTTTCAGGGGATTTCTATGGATCTAAGAGACAACTGAAGTGACTCAGCAGCAGCAGCAGGAGCATGAGACTCTGCGGCCCCTTGATCCTGCTTGACACAGTAGCTGTATTCTAAATCAGTATTCTGTCATAATCACTGATTTTAACTCTCTATTTGTATCCATTCGTGGATTCAGTGTAGAAGGCATTTTTCTTAACCAAAGTCACATGCTTTTAATAAATGACAGGGATTCACATTATGTCCTAAAATAAAGAATACACTTCTCTTTTATTTTTAGAGTTCCTATATCTGACCAAGTTTCTGAAAGAACAGCATAGTTAATGCTATCAGGGAGTTTCTTGAAGGGTACTGATATGAGATCTATTATATGCCAGAAACATGGCTTCAAATCCTATCAAGCCAAATAGCATTGTTCTAATTTAGTACCAACTTCAATGTGATGATGTTTCTGTGGAGATTTGCCAATTACCTGCTGTCATCATAGGAAGTGACTTTGGCTCAGGTATTTAGTCAGGGAGCAAGTCACAGGGGACACTCCAAAATAAGCAAGGCAATCTCTGTCATCAAGGATATGGAGAATTTTCTGTAGACTATGAGTTTGTGTGTTTCACCTTGAGAAAAAGCAGGTCATACTAAACATGTCTTGCCTTAGAATGCACTGTTTTCAGTAAATGAATATGGGATAACTTGTAAGTGAAAATTGGCCTTGAGCAAATTTTATTTCCTAACATTAGTTGTTATTTGCTTTTTTACAGCTCTCATTTCTAACTCCAATTTCATTTTGGAGAATCACTGCACCTCAGTTTGTGTAACCTTGGTAAGGGTTGTAAATCTCAGTGCCTATTCTCACAGTGGAGAATCCTAGGGGAGTCCCCAGAAGGTCCCTCTATTGGATCAACCCTTTTCCCAATGCTTTCCTCCACTTCCAGGTGATAATTAGCCCTTAGTCAATCAGAAGCTCTAGCTGAGGATCTTAAATGTTTACCCCATAACCATGAACACAAAAAAATAAATGGCTTTGAATTCATTATTTGCAAATAAGAAACTCTTGACCGAGCTTCCCTTCTCAATTGCATGAACATGACTCCTTCCTGATTACACAGTTTTAATATAAGCATTGAGACTTGGGAATGAATTATTTAATCAGAAAATGACTGACTAGAGTCCACAGAACCTCACTTTGAATACTTTGTAGAGTTCCTGGAAATAGGTAATACACCTTCTAAGGGACAAGAATGGATATTAACAAGAAAGTTATTTTCAGAGAGTTAGTTTTAACAATTGTGTGCCAAATAGTTCTGACTTAGAGACTCCAGAAATATGATATGGTTATACTATTTGGCCCCTCTAGAGTTGATCGGGCCTCATGAGTAAGTGTGGAGAAGGCAATGGCACCCCACTCCGGTACTCTTGCCTGGAAAATCCCATGGACGGAGGAGCCTGGTGGGCTGCAGTCCACAGGGTCACTAAGAATCGGACACGACTGAGCGACTTCACTTTCACTTTTCACTTTCATGCATTGGAGAAGGAAATGGCAACCCACTCGTATTCTTTCCTGGAGAATCCCAGGGACAGGGGAGCCTGGCGGGCTGCCATCTACAGGGTCGCACAGAGTCGGACACGACTGAAGTGACTCAGCATCAGCAGCATGAGTAAGTGTGAGCTAGTGTGGTCAGAAGAGATAAGTGCCATGTCTAGGTCACAGTTTTTAATTGCTAATGCAAGATCCTCCAGGATGTACTCTGCCTGTCACTTAATAACCAGTAAAGCTAAAATAGTAGCTCTTCTGTCAATTCAGGTCCCTCAGGGACTGTGTTGAGCAATAATCTGATGCCCCATTAAGGATGTGTCAACTGGGTGGGGAGTAATCTTCTGTTGCTTTGGCTACTTAGATTTAGGGGCTGATATTTCAATATAAAACATCATAACACAGCATATCCTGACAAAAACAATCAGCTATCTTCACTAATAACATATGCCAGGGGCTCAGCTGAGTTAGAGAGAAAGACCTGAGTGGTCAGCTGTCAGTGAAAACAAGAAGCCAAACTGACAGTAACAGTCAAGTCTTTAATCACTAACCATGATAGTTTAAGCTGGAGGTTAAACCACAGAAAACAAGTACACCTCCTCTTCCAGTTTCACCCTATTGAAGATCCATTGGATCAGTCCAGTTATGGGCATGATATCACTGAAGAAGGGCCCTGGAACAAAAGTTCCCTATAGTTTTATGAACTCAGGTGTCAAGGGCAAGGGAAAGGGAATATCTAGGAGTGGGAAAGTACTGAGAATTGAGCCAGCGTCGAGAAAAGTGTCTTCAAGTTTTCCCTCCTCTCTCCCCTGTCAGAAGGCCTCAGCAGAAGCACCTGAGGAAGGTCTTTGCCAAAGGCCCCAGATAAAAAGGCTTCTGAGTAAAGAAACTGGGTTAGGAATTGCAGGTGCAGACCAGAGTATAGACAGCAAGGAGGTCTGAGTTCTTGACTGCAACTCCCTTCAAAGAATGCAGTGGATTGTTTCTGTGCTAAGCCAGTGTGGGGAGGGCAGCTTTCTTCTATGATGCTACTGGTAAAGACTTGAAATTATCTATAATCAGGTCTGAAAAATCACTCCTTGGATTTTTGGCCAGGAGTCAAACTTCTGAATATATACTTACAAGACCAGAAATGTATGTGCTTTGACACTAGAAGTAGCAAATGGATCATCATTTTTAATGACCAGAATTTTTTAGCCAATTAACTTATTTAAGTTATCTAAGGTTTTGTAGGTCTTCCCTATAAATGGTGGCTCAGATGATAAAGAATCTGCCTGCAGTGCAGGAAACCTGGGTTTAATTCCTGGATAGGGAAGATCCGCTGGAGAAGGGAATGGCCACCCACTCCAGTATTCTTGCCTGGAGAATTCCATGGAGAGAGGATACTGGTAGGCTATAGTCTATGGGGCCACAAAGGACTGGACATGACTTAGCAACTAACATACAGTTGGCTGTGTATCAAAGAGCTCCAAATCTTAGTGGAATAAACAGTCATTTTAATTTGCTCACAGTTTGAGGGTAACGAATTTGGAAAGGACTAACCTGAATAGTTTATCTGTGATCCTTTTGGTATCAGCTGGGGTAGTAGTGTCTGAATGATGACCTTCTTAGATATCCTCTCCATTCACATATCTGTTGCCATGGTGTTTGTTAGTCTCTCTCTCTCTCTGCAAATTAAATATAGTTATGATGGCTTATCTTCCAGGGTCTTCCATGTGCTGCAATTTCTATGATTTTGCACAACTTGGTGATTCCATGGTAGTTAGATTTTGTTTATGGTGGCTGGCTTCCAAGAGGGAGAAAGAGAAGCTAACAGGAGGACATCTAGAACTAACACAGAAACATGTCTGCCCTTTATTTATTTATATTTCCTTATCAATGTACTCACAAAGCCCACTCAGTTTTAAACTGGTTAGAAAATTAAACTCTGCCTTTGGCTGGAGGAATAGCAAATCCCCTTGCAGCAGCACATATGGAACGGGAGGCATTGCTGTGGTTACCTTTGGAAAACAAATCTGCTGCACATTCCATGTTGGTGAATTTAGGAGGATTGGAATACTAACTAGTTCAAAGAACATCTGTAGCAAAGCATTTATATGTCCTAAGAGCAAAAATATATACAAATTACCATAATCAACATACACATATAATATGTTGTGGAGGAAGAAATAGGACGAAATGTTTATTTTAAGATGTAATGCTTATTTCGAAGGGAGGCTTTAGTTTTTTACTGCTTCTATAAAATTTCCCAGAGACTCAGGGCCAATGGCATCTTCTATTTTGTATCTCACAGGTCTATGGCTCACAGGTCTTAGCTGGTTTCTCTGCTCTAAGTCTAATAAGGCCAAAATCAAATTAACCACAGGTCTAGGTTTCCTACTGGAGATTGAGGAAGGATGCATTTCTCAGCTCATTCAAGTTGTTGACTGAATTCATTTTTTTTTTTTTGGTACTTATCAGATTAAAGTCCCTGTTGTACTGCCGGCTATTAGTTCAGACCAGTTCCTTATACTTTCTCCTGGACCCCTCCAGCAACAAAGACCTGAGTCATTGCAGGGCTTTCAATCCCACTACCTTATTCATGGGCCACCTCTCTTCAAGTGCAGGTGAAGATGTGCTTGTCTTTTAAGAGCTCATGTGATTGTAGTGCACCTACCCAAGTAATCCACAATCATCTCACTATTTTAAGGTCTGTAAATGTTAAGTACGTTTGAGAAATCCTTTTGTCATGTCACATAACACATTCTTAGGTTATAAGTATTAGGGCATAGATATAATTATGGGGATATTCTATCACAGAAACAACAAAAACACATTTACCGGGTCTAGACAGATGAAAAGGATACTTTAGTGCTACAGAAGTTGAAGATGTGACAGAAGGTGAATTTATGCAGAGAATTCTGAACTAAATCTGGGTTGGCTAGAGTTATATGAATGTCATTAGAGCAGAAAATAATATGATCTTCTTTGTATTTTTAACAGTTAAATTTACTGCAGACGTGGAAGAGTATTTAATTAGAGGAAACTGACTCAAGGTTTAAATATCAGAAAGAAATAATAATGATATATATTGTGGCTTAATCAGAAGCTTGAAAATAGAACACAATTTCAAGGGAGTAGGAATGAAAGTATTTGGTGATCAACTTTTTTTTTAGTTATGAAAGGATCTCAGTTGACATACACTTTGTAAGTGTATCTAAAAAGATGAGAAGGTCATGGAAAAATAATACTTTTGGCTAAAAGCATTGATAATGATTTTGAGATGTGGTTAGGCTATCCTTAAAAGAGATATCATTTAGATAACCAGATTTATTAATAGATCATGGGTTCAAGAAAGACATAAAGTATGCAGATTTATTTATGGCTTTATATTGCCTTTAGATAACAGCAATTATTGTATTTAGAATACATTTTAAATAGTATATTTATTCTTATATATATATTCTTATATTTAGAATACCCATGCCTGCTAAAAGTCTACAAGGACACTTTGGAAAGTATTTTCCATCTTGTCTTAGTCCATTTGTGTTTCTATATAGAAATACCACAGACTGGGTAGCTTATAAACAACAGGAATTATTTTTTCACAGTTGTAGAGGCCAGAAAATCCAAGATCAAGGTAGCAGCCTGGCAGGGCAAGGGCCCTCTTCCTGACTCATGCCGGCAGCTTCCCACTGTGTCCTCACAAGGAAGGAAGAGGCAAGAGAAATCTGTAGGATCTTTTTATTTAAAGCACTAGTCCCATTTATGAGGGCGCCACCATCATGAGCTAAGAGCTTCCCAAAGACCTCATCTCCCACTAACATCAGCTTTGGGGCTTCACTGTATGATTTCATTGTATGAATTCTGAGGAACCATGAATATTCAGACCATAGCACTCCTTTTCACAGAACATTTCCTCAACGACATATTACATACTTTTCCTTACTAAAATAATTGTGTTTTCTTCTAATTGGCTTGTTTTAATACTGTTTGAGCAAAAGCATGTCTTCAGGTTTTTATAATTTATCTTTTTAGCATTTAAATCTCCTTCTTAATTGCTAACTATGATTTTAGTTACAAAATCAGTGGTGTCTCTAGAAGTTTTATTTTGCAACATAAATGGAACTTGTCTATTGGAATTTACGCAAAAATGGAAATAGCACTGTCAAGTGGGATTAGGCTAGACATGAAATAAAGTTTATATCTATACATAGGAACATACACACACACATATACCTCATGAGTTTAAAATTGTGAAGAGGTAATAAAAAGAAGTTACAGAATTCAAACAGACTTCAAAAAAGCCAAACAGACTTATGTGGTCAATAGAATTTTGTAGTGGGAAATTATTTTAACCTTTTTAGCCTATTCAAACTGTCCTCAGATGAGGGTTATTCTGACATAGACGCTCAAAAGAAAGGTCTTAAGGACGGCTGTTGCACTTTAATAACTAACACCACTGTGTTCATATCCCATTATTTTGCTTGCCTGTCTCCACATTTGTAGAGCAGTTATTTTAGGACTTCATTAAACTTTTCCACAAGACTTTCTTTTTGAAGAGTACACTGAATAGAAAAATGGTCTGTGTTGTAAGATCTGATATGTATGTATGTATATATACATATATATCAAAATATATATAAAGACTTGAGCTGTTATTGGACAGTTTTGTCTTAGATAAAATGAGTTATTATGGGAACTATTTTATAGTGGGTGCATCTGATTTCTTTTTATCCTTGTTTAGTTCTGGTGAATTATAGTTTTATTTGGATTTGTTTTCTTGCTGATTTCTGTATTTTTTTTTTTTTTTGGAGAATTACTATTTTACAATGTGAAGAATTTCAGAAAGATCACTATGAAGTTTATAAAAAACAATAAATAACTTGAATTAATATTCAACTTAATACAATAATTTAAAATTTGAACTTAACAGGTAAGGTCTTCAATGGCCAAGAAAACAACAACGAGGGTATCACTTACTGACAAACTCATTATTGTTGACTTTGCCATTTGCTACATGTCTCCAAGTCCTAGGAATACATCAAGCAGACCCTGGCCTTGGTACACACTCAGGTATTTGCATGAGGACTATTGTAAAATGCTTATATCAATTAATAACAATTATTTAACATAAAATAATATCAATTTTGGACACATTGCCTGCCCACCTATGTTTGGTTTTCACATAATGCCGTCTAATTTTGATTGCAGATTTGTAATTATTGATCAAATGTTGACTGATTCTATATCTACTTTCAAAATTTTCTTACATTTTATTCTATAATAGTGGGATTCATTTTTGCATTTTTGCTCCCATTTTCTAAATTATAAAATGGTGCCTTATTTCTTCTACTCGGGTAATTCTGCTTCACATTCTCATTCTTTGAATGGACTCCATTTATTTACTGAAGTAGTTTCTTAATCTCCTGCAAAAAAGAGAACAGAGATAGAACTTGATTTGGACTATATTGATATAGTATTGTCACACTTGACATATGACAGTTTATTTGGTTTACAAATGGATACAAACAATAACATCAAAATGCAGGGCAAAAAAATATTGGCTATATTGTCTATTATTTATACTGAACAACAGTTTTATTTCTAAGTTAGGAAGAAATCAATATATTACTTGAAATTCAGTAGAATAAATAAATCTTTTTGCTTATTTTGGCAATAAAAGTAAATTGCAGAATAAAGAAAAAAAAGCTCTGCAGTCAAACACTAATCCACTTTCTATCTAAACTTATACATATGTATTTACACAGCCACACAAATCAGTCACATATGTAAGATATCTAATGATTTTCTGTTGCTTAAAATCTAGAAACCTATTTAATTCATAGAACATTAGAGCTGGGGGAACCTTAAACATTACATCATCTGAGCCTAGTCTTTTCATTGCCAAGGTCATAGAATGAAAATGATTTAAAGTGGAGTCAATTCATCTTCCAAGCTCAGCTTCCATTTTACTAGAACAGTTTGTCCCATCTATATAGAAGACTCAAAAACAATATAATAAAAGCACATTTCTAAAATCCTAAGATCATTTTAAGGGATAATGTTTTCTCCCATGTTCCGGAAACTTGTTATCTGACTTTTGATCCTCAACATATTAGAGGCTTTGCTAACATTTCTTCTGGTGCTAAATCTTCCAACATAAGCAAGTTTTTCCCCTTAGTGTATGAAGTATATAGAATGAGTTCAGAAAATTAAATGCATTTGGTGAAAGTTATACTTATTTAATATTTATAATATAGACATGTCTGTGTGTGTGTGTGTGTGTGTGTGTGTAATATCCACATTTAATTTAGAGGAATATGATTAGAAGAAAAACATCTTTATTCTATCTATACTCATAGAATGGAAATCACCAGTATAAGTTGCTGAATCATGAAATACTATAGGAAAACAAATGTTGAATGAACTGAGGCTCCATTTAAGAGTATTATACTTAAAACAAGTCTCAGTCCATAAGACTTTAAAATTCATTTATATTTTGAAGGTTAAGAAACTTTGTCAGATGAGCTCTATTTTCATTATACAAATTATTCCTTTATTAGTTTATTGAATATTTCTTTAGTGCATTCTATGTTCTTGACACTTTTATAAGTTATTTTATTGGACAAAACAACTAAACTCTCTCCCGTTGAGAATTCTGTTCCTATGTCTTAGAAACTCAAACCTATAGTCTTTTTAAATTGAGCAAGAGCTAGGTAAATCTGCAAATAAAATATCTTTTTAGTCAATTTACTTTTTTTTTTCCAAAAGAGTATTCCATCTGGTGTAGACAGGGTGTTAAATAACTGTGATTTACAAGTCAATGCATAGTTGACAGGATTCACCATGAAGCAATCAGAAATGAAGACTCTAGAGCCAGTCGACTTGGGTCCAGATTTGACGACTGCCAAAGGAAATAAACCCTGAATATTCATTGGAAGGGCTGATGCTGAAGTTTCAGTACTTTGACCATCTGATGTGAAGAGCCAACTCATTAGAAAAGACCCAGATGCTGGGAAAGATTGAAGGTAAAAGGAGAAGGGAGTGGCAGAGGATAAGATGGTTAGATAGCATCACTGACTCAGTGGACATGGATTTGAGCAAACTATGGGAGATGGTGAAAGATAGGCAAGCTTGGTGTGCTTCAGCCAGTGTGGTCACAGTCAGAATGGCTTACCAACTGAACAACAACAGTATCAAAATTCCACCTGTGGGAAGAGATGATGCTGGGCATGAAGAAGCTAGATGAGTCAGTGTGGAATCATAAGCTTATCAGACTATTAGACAAATGAAGAACTTTAATTCATAGCTTTTAGAAGAGAACATGCTTTAGGCAGATAAAACTGGTCAGGAGTTTGTAATAGCCTAAGATAAAATTTAGGTAATGTTATCTTCTCCTTTTACCTATCAGTGGGCTTCCCTGATAGCTCAGTGGGTAAAGAATCTGTCTGCAATGCAGGAGACCCCAGTTCAACTCCTGGGTTGAAAAGATCTGCTGGGGAATGGATCTTCCTCAGCCTTCCACTGGAAGGCTACCCACTCCAGTATTCTTGGACTTCCCTTGTGGCTCAATTGGTAAAGAATCCGCCTGCAATGCAGGAGACCTGGTTTCGATCCCTGCTGGGAAGACCCCCTGGAGAAGGGAACGGCTACCTAATCCAGTATTCTTGCCTAGAGAATTCCATGGACTGTAGGCCATAGGGTCACAGAGAGTTGGGCACGACTGAACATTCAGATTTAAAGATAAAATTTACAAGACTTTGAATAGAAATCTTAAAAATTTTTACTGAAAAACACTAACAACTTTTAAGACACTTTTACTAAAAACTTTTATGTATAGAGTCACTGAATCTATCCTATGAGGTGTGAATTATTATTATTCTCCACTGTAAAAGGACAAAGTGCAGTTTGGAGGCTATATTAGTCAAGGGTCACCAGAGAAACAGAATGAATGGAGGATTGTCTATATCTGTCTATCTATCACCTATTTTATTATCATATACCTAGCGACCTATCTTGCTATCTAGCTAAAGGGTTTAGGGAATTAGCATATGTGATTATGGAGGCTGACAAGTCCCAAGATCTTCAGGAGGTTGAAGACCCAGAACAGATGATGTAGTTCCAGTGTGAAAGCCAGTAGGCTTAAAGCTCATCAAGAGCCAATGATTCAGTTAAAGTTCAAAGGCAAGAAAAAAAAATAGTGTCTTCACTCAAAGCCAGTGAAGCAGAAGAAATTCTCTCTTGATGTTTTTGTTCTGTTTAGGCTTTCAACTATTTGGACTTCAACTTCAAATAGAAAATGCTTTGCTCCAAAACACATTCATTTTACAGAATAATATTTGTAAAATGAATTTCTTTCTTTTTTTTAGTGCAGCATCTCTTGTGCTTTGACTGACATTTTGGGCTCACATATGTATAACGGTTCTTCAGCAATATTGAAAGCTTTTGGAAAATTAGGAATTCAGTAATAGCTACTTGAAATAATAGTTTCTGCAGTACAAAAATATTTACAAAAATTTTTACTAGTTCTGCTGAAGCTCTTTAAATAAACACTTCTGGATGTTCATATAACTTTTAGGCAGGGGGAAAGAAATTTTTACTTTGATACCTTAAGCTACAGTCAGATTTGGGATATGATATAATCATAACAGAATTACTATAAGAAAAAAAAACACAGGCAAAAATTTTTGATTTGGACCTGAAGGTATGTGTCACAGGCACACATCTGAGAGAATCAAGGCCATGATGATCTTAGCACATTTACTGAGCATTTCCTTCTCCAGGGATCTTCCTGACCCAGGAATTGAACCTATATCTTCTATATTGGCAGACAAGATTCTTTACCCTTAAGCCACCAGTGAATTTCTTGAATCTCCTAAAGCTAGCTACCCACATGTGTGTGTGTGTGTGTTCAGTCACTCAGTCAGATTCAACTCTTTGCAACTCCAGGGACTATATCCCACCAACCTCCTCTGTCCATGGGATTTTCCAGGCAAGAATGGAGTGTGTTGCCTTTTCCTACTCCAGGGGATCTTCTCAACCAAGGGAACGAAACTGCATCTCTTGCAGCTTCTTCACTGGCAGGCAAATTCTTTACCACTGTGCCACCCAGGAAGCCCAGCTAACCACACACCCTGTAGATTAATTCATTTTACCTATATTTTGGAAATACAGAAATGGAGATAAGGATAAGCTTATAATTTCTTCATGTCAAAGTCACTGAGATAATAAATGTTGGAAACTGGATTAAAATCCAATTTCCAATGTACATATGCTGCAGTGGTTGCCTTTTAATAGGAATGTGAGGACCAGACATAGATGCAGTATTGACTAGGTTGAAGATGATACTATCTTCTTTGTATTTCTTTTCCCAGTCCCTACTTCCTGTTTTTATCCTGTTTCTCCCATTCACTTTGGGTAGATCAGCAACTAAAAAACAGTGTAGGGACTGCATTTTCAGAGTTCTGTTTTCACAGTACCTAGAATTGTGAAAGTTACAATTCCAGTGAATACTCTGGTAGACGTCAGATGAAAAGAAATGAAAAACAGAAGTTCTGTAAAGATATGGATTTCTTCCAATGAACATAAACTGTGACAGGAAATAACAGGACATTCCCATTCTCTATACTGTCAATATCTAAATGGGAAGGGGTGTTTAAAAACAAAGCCAGTCATCAGATGTTCAATGTGGCAAACTGCCAGTACTTTTAGGATCTTAAAGTTCAGACATTTAACAACCTGCTCTCCATTTAGGTAATTTAGTTCTTGTGAAAGGAAGATTGTCAGGAAGAAAAGAAGTAAAACACTCTGTTTAACGGAAGAAAAATAGATCCTGGTCCCTAAGTGCACAATCTTCTATCATGTTATCCTGACAAGACACTTTTCTTTACACATGGGAAGAATCATTTACAGGAGAAAGGGTAATTGAGATATTGACCTTAACCAGTTCTGGATGTTAGAAACCTGTCCACTTGCTATGTAGTGCTCATGACAGCTCTACCCACTTTATTATCCTTACAAAAAGAAGTCCCCTCCGATTGTCAAAGATGGAGTGTCTACACAGTATGAAAATCACAAATACATACTTAAGATAGATTCTGAACTAGTGATGACAGGCATTTAACACCTTTAGTAAGTGTTAGAAATAAAGGAAAAGCAACATGGAGTTGCTGCTTGTGAAGAAGTTACTTAAATCATTATCAGCTGATCACTTACCAATCCTTTTACTCGTGTTTTTGATCATAAGTAAAAAATCAAGTGCAATTCTAGTCTTATGTGCTTAAGAATAAGTTAAACATCGTGGGCCACTATAAAACCATATAACATTTCATTTTCAACCCTGAGTTGAGGAAGAAATAGTCTACAGTATTTAAAATGGCTCTCTTCACAGCATCGAAACATGTATATCTAGGGTGAAACAGATCAC